CACTATTTACAATAGCCAAGAAATGGAAACAACCTAAGTGTCTGTTAGTAGATGAACGGATAAAGAAGATGTGGTACATATACACAATGGAATATTATTCAGCCATAAGAAGAAAACAAATCCTACCATTTGCAACAACATGGGTGAAGCTAGAGGGTATTATGCTCAGTGAAATAAGCCAGGTGGAGAAAGGCAAGTATCAAATGATTTCACTCATCTGTGGAGTGTAAGAACAAAGCAAAAACTGAAGGAACAAAACAGCAGCAGATTCACAGAACCCAAGAATGGACTAACAGTTACCAAAGGGAAAGGGACTAGGAAGGGTATGTGGGGAGGGAGGGTGAAGACGATTAAGGGGTATTATGATTAGCATCCATAACTTAGAGTGAGGGCATGGGGAAGGCAGTATAGCACAGAGAAGACAAGTAGTGACTCTACAGCATCTTACTACGCTGATGGACCGTAACTGTTATGGGGTATGTGGGGGGGACCTGATAATAGGGGGGGAATGTAGTAACCACAATGTTGCTCATGTGAAACCTGAGCATAAGATTGTATATCAATGATACCTTAATAAACAAAAATACAGTTTTAGACAATTGGGGAAAATTGGTTATGGCTGGGTTAGATGATAATAAAGGTTATTGCTAATTTTTCTGGGTATTATAATTGCATTGCAGTTTTATTTTTTAAAAGTCCTCCTGTGTTAGAGATACTTCATCAGATGTTTCAAGCATTTACAGGTGAAATAGTATGATGGGTAGGATTTTCTTTAAAACACTCCAGAAAAAGAAAATGGTGGGCCAAAAAAAAAAATAAGGCAAAATGTTAAAAATTTATGAAGTTGGGTACATTTTACTATTCTCTCTACTTTTGTGTCTCATTGAAATTTTCCACTAAAAAGTAGAATTTTCCACTACGTTTTCAAAAGAAAGTATAAATAAAGCAAAGTTCTAGGCAGTGCTGCCAAGGGAAGTTTCATCAAGTTAAAGAGGACATTAATTTTCTTACTTCTCAACCCTACTCAGCATCCTAAGAGTTTCCTTGAAAATGTTATTTCTAAGAAAGTCTTGTAATCCACTTAGACTACAGATGTTGAACCTGGTGAAATTAATCTATACCTTCAACATCTGTCATTTGACTTGTCATGTATTGCCCTGTTAATATTTGATTCGATGCCTCTGTTTTCTGGAAGACATAGTTGGAAATTTTCTTTGTTAAGCTAGAAGAGGATCACCACATCTCCCTTGTCTCCCGCATATATGAGGAAGGGAAAGTTGTAAGTCAGCTGGATTTCTTATTTGAGCAAAGTTAGAGATTTCTGACTCACTTAACTCAATAAGCAGCCTGTTGGGTTTCCCTGGACACCATGATTGAGTTGAGATGGGCAAATGGCCTAAGCTGTACCAAGTGGAAGCAATCTTATGATGTCAGGGTTATCAGGTACTGGGAAAGATCTTTCCCACTGATGGGGGCCTGAGAAGATGAAGCCTCTGTAGTTTCAGAGGACAGAACTGTTTTGAGCATAGAGTCAATACCTAGGAACCAGGTCCAAGAGATGAAGAGAGAGAGAGACTCAGTCTTGGTGACATCATTTGAAATCCTGGGTCAACTTGGACATGAAGTTGTCAATTTTTCAGTTAAGTGAACCAATAAATTTCATCTTCCACTTTTGGCAGATGGTTAGTTGAGTTCCCAAGTCCATTTCCCCTATATTCTTTGGTGACTGAGTTTTAGCAGGGCAGTTGCCTTCTAGGTAGAAATTATATTTCCCAGCCTCCCTTGCATTTGGGTGTAGCCAAGTGACCTATTCCTCATTAATTGAATGAGAGTGGAAGTGAAACTTGCTTAGAAGAAAATAGCTTGCCCTCTGCTTCTGCTCTTTCCCCTTCGCAGTGGCTGGAATACAAACATGGGCATGACCCAGCTCCGAGCGTACATATGAGATCGACATCTAGGTCCTAGCAGGGGGTGAGCAGAAGATGGAAGGGACTTGGTTTCTCAACTCTGGACTATTAAGAGATGAGCAAGTCTCTTCAAGCTGTTCTCTTTCAGAAGTCTCTGTTAGAGCATCTAAACCTGACCAACATAGGGCTGAGGAGAGCTGCGCAGTGCGAGGACTCCTATGGAATCCTAGGGGCAGTCTGGAGGGGAGTATTGAGGAGAGACAGGAGGAAGGAAGAGAGGAGACAGCAATGTGGGTTACCAGGGAGATATCCCCGTGATTAAAGGAGGATAACTGGGTTTTTATTTTGGAATGATGGAAAATTTTTGGAACGAGATAGAGGTGATGGTTGCACAGTGTGATGAACATAATAAATGGCACTAAAATTTTCGCTTTAAAGTGGTTAATTTTACAAATTTTATGATTTTCACCTCCATAATTTTTTAAAAAGAACAAGAGTAAGGATGTCTTAAGTTCAAATTCAACTTTTCATACCTCTAACATAAACCCTCTTCTCTGCACTCCACATCTCTTCAGCAGAATCCACATCAGCTACATATTCCCTGTGGGTGTCTGGGGCAGGAGTTGGTCTGGGAAGACCTGGCCCAGAACAGAGAGCTGACATAGGATAGGGAGATGGTCTATAAACTGAACGAGTTCAGTAGAAGCAGGAATTCAGAACCAAAGGGAACTAGGAGACCATTAACTCACATGGGTTCTCAGAAATCATGGGTGGGGCTCTCAACCTTGATGGGAGGAGGTTAAGGCCATCTTGTGGGTTTGCTGGGATGCACAGTTATCTTGGACACAATTAACAACCAGCATCTCCCCCTCAACTACCCTGATTTCACCTTGAGGGAACTGTGCTTTCTCTGCCTCTTGTCTAAGCTGCCCTCTTCCTAAGGTTAGAGCTTCTGACCTGTGCTAAACCAGCCGGCACTTTCTATTATTTTTGTGACACATGACCCAAGCTGGACCAATCAGGACCAAGGAAATAAATGTCAGGGTTTTTTTTGTTTGTTTGTTTGTTTTTTTAAGCTATTTGGGAAGCTCCCTTTCTCTGGCCTGGGAGTTGGGATGATATGAGCCACTTTGAGGATGGGGCTGATCCAGAAGAGGAGCTGAAAGCTGGAGTCCTGATTTGAGCCCCGAATCAAGGCAGGTCTGAAGGCTGATCTGTGCCTGGGCTTTGCAGTTACGGGCATCTCCTAAATCCCCTTCTCTGCTTAAGCCACCCTGAGTTGGAGTTCTGCTGCACCAGCTCAACCGTGTTTCTGTCACACATATCACAAGAACCTTGCTTCAGATGCTCCTTCCCCATTTTGCAAATAATACAGGCTCACAGTGCCAAATTATTACAAAGAACAAGAATAAGGATGTCTTAAGTTCAACTTTAACTTGGGGCCAGAGGTATAATACAGTTCGGAATTTTTCAGAGTTTAGAAGGTAAGCAGGCATGCACATACCATTCATACATATACCCTCAGGTCTGGGGCAGCACCCCTTGATCAAACACTTCAATATTCCTTCAGGGAAGCTGCTGACTATTAACACTCGATGGGATTCATAAAGACTATAGGTACCCTTTGTTAGCTCAGATCAGGGTCTCTTAACAAATCAATTTTAGCCTTAACCTCGTGAAAATGCACTTTTCAAAGTTTTTGGATTTCAGAACTACAAATTATAAATAAATGATAATAACTTCAATTTACATAGGCACTCATTCTGTGCCTGGCAGATATGAATTTATATCATCCTCACAATAATTCTATGAGGTGAATATAAGTGTTATTCCCACTTTACAGATGGGGAATCCGAGGCTCAGGTAGGTAAAGTGACTTGCCCAAGGTCACACAGCCAGCCATGAGGTTGCAGAACTGGGATTTGAACCCAGGGTGCCCGGCTGCAGAGTCTTATGTCTTTCTTTCATGTTATCTGCCTCTCACGGGAGCTTGTATATCTCTGGGGACCCTTTTATAGCCCCAGGCCTCCCTCTGTTTTAAGGGCTAAGGCCCAGCACCCTTCAGGAGGCCCAGCCCACCATCTGCCCTGCACCACTCACCTCCACAAGAAAGAAGTCCTTGAAGCTGGTGTCAGTCAGCAAGATGAGCTTCTTCTCAGGAATGCCACCCAGGATGAGCACTGGTGCCTGCTCCTCGGTGTACCACAGAGGCCTCGATGGGGCATTCACAAAGTACCGGGGTATCAGCTCGTAGAGCTGCAGGGGAAGAGGCTGCTCGATGCTCCCCTCCCCTACCATGGCTCCACCTCATTAGAATAGAAGCCAAAGCCCCTCTAGACCCCTGAGGCCCCACACAATTTGCCCACATAGCTCTCGGACCTCATCCTAACCACTTGGGCCTCCTCACTGCTTCTCAGACTTACCAGGCACATTCCCGCCTCAGAGCCTTTGCGCTAGCTGTTCCCTCTATAAGAAACGCTCTTCCCATAGTGTCCACATGATTCCTTCCTCTCCTCCTTCAGGGCTTTCCTCAGATGTCAACCTCTCAGTTATGCCTTTCTTGACCATTCCAGTAAACAGCCCCTCCTGCACAGACCCAGCTCCCCTCACCCTGTTTGAATTCTCTCCACAGCACTTGCCACCTTTAACCTACTATAGAATTTACTTGATTTCATGTTTACAGGTTTGACGCTAGAATGTCAGCTCTGTGAGGGCAGGGATTTGGGTCTGTGTGTTCAGTGTTGTGTTTCCATGATGCCACACTGTGTGCTCAGTAAGTCTCTGATGAATGAATGAATGAGTGGATGCACTGCGATCAGGACTATGGGTGCAGGAGTCAGGCAGACAGTTTCAAGTCTCATTCCATATGAATGTGCTGAGAGACTGCAAATGACTCCATCCCTTTGGGGCTTCAGTTTTTGCCTCTTTGAAATGGGTATGTAAGAGCACCTTCCCTCCCAGGGAAGTCCTTGTGGGACTGAATGTGATTGCGCATTTAGTACAGCACTTCACCCAGGGCCTGGCACAAAGCAAGCACTCTGGAAATAGCATCTACCACTTCTTTGGTAAGTAAGCAAGGCCCCGGCCTACTGTCTGCAACCTGTATCTTCTACCTTGCCTATTCTCTGGGCCCCCTCACCTCATTTCCCACAGTGAACTGGAGCGTGTCGTCTCTTGTTCTCTGCAGGAAGCCATTGATGTTCACCTGAAACCTGGCAGCAGGTGTGGGGCAGGCATGGGTGAGGGTTCCAGTGTCAGGAGCTCCTGCCATGGCTTACAGCCACCTCCCAGCCCTACCCCCTCCCTTTGGTCTCCTCCTGGCTTCTTGGGGGATAGGGGGATAGGAAGTCCCTCCCAGAGTCTACCCCCAGCCCTGGGCTTGAGAAAGGGCACCTTTGATTAGGAATAAAGGGCCCCAGGCCATTGCTGCTGATGTCCACATACATGACCACGCTGCCATTCTTGATGGGCATGGGTGTGTACCAGCTCATAACACACACCTCTGCATTGCACGGCTCTGCTGGTAAGCAGTAAGAACGGAGGTTGCGGGTGTCTCCCAGTGGCCCCCTTGACGCCACAGACTACTGGGATCTCCCTGCAACTCCCCAAGCCCCCCTCTAGGCCATGGACCCACTGGGGCCTTTGTCTGGCCCCATCTTGGCCATGGAACCCACTGAGGCCTCCTCATGCCCTCCTCCGGGTCATAAACCCCACCAAGGCTCCCCAAACCCCTACAATCACTGCTAGGCCACGTGCTCTTCTGATGACCCTGGCCTCCTTTTGAGGTCATAGACCTCCCTGAGGCCTCAGCGACCACCCCATGCCCTGCCAGGCTGAGACCCTTCCAAGTGTTCCCCAAGCCCACCTTTGCTGCGGAAGGGGACTCCCTCCATCTGAATCTGCAGCTGCTCTATCTTCCAGTGATGGAAGTTGACTGGGGACTGGAAGGTAACCAGCACCATGGGCTTCAGTCCCGTCAGGTAGCCCTTGCGGACCAGGGCCTCTGAAGACTGAGGGCAAAAGAGCCGCACAGGTGTGTCCTTAAGAAAGCTTCTGGATTCCCCCAGCTGTGGCCCCACCTTTAGTAGACTGTCTTTCTGGGCTGGGCCAGGAGGACAGACTCTGGGTGAGAAAGCCAGAGAACATGGTCTAGGTTTGAGGCTGGGGTGGGGGAAAGGCCAGCTAGGAGAGGAGCTAGGAGCTGTGGAAGGAGTCAGGAGGCCTTCCTGGAGGGGGTGAGTCCAGAGCCAAGGCTTTCAGACAGCATTTGGATAAAGGGAGTGCACAGAGAAGGGCAGCCTGGAAAAAGCAAAAATGTGAAGGTGGAGTGAGCTCGGCACCCAGACCTGCCAGTAGCCTCTTCCCTCACTCAAGGGCTCCCCAGTCCCGCTCTTAAGACTCCCACCTTCCCTTCAGAAATTGAACTCTCTGCCACCTACCCCCGCCCCCCAACCAGTCTGAGGACAGCCAGGTGTTGGGCTGGGACCTGGGGGTGAGGGTGGGATGGGGCAGTTGGACAGAAAGGAACTGGGGAAGAGGGTGAAGGGCTTCCAGTGACAGCCTCCCCGAGATGCGCAGATCCTGGCTGAGCTGAGGACAGGCAGGGCTTAGAGTGTGGATGCAAGGAGAAAAGGAGAAGGGTATTCCCAGTGCATGGAACAGCATAAGCAAAGGCTTGGAGGCACCCCCAAGAGAAGGCTGCCCTCAACCACTGTAGGTGGATGGGTGGGTGTGGACTGAGAGACTGAAACGGAGCAGGTACCCCCTCTTTGGTGAAGCCCCTCTGACTTCTCATTAACAAAGAGAAGCCCGAGTCCCCTAATAGTGACCCACTCTGCGGGAATTGGACTGAGTGGTTAGAGATGAAAGAAAATGGGAGTTTGGAAACCACGGGAAAGCAAACCAAACAGACACAGACCTCTGAGTCCCCCTCACAAATTCTTGACACTTGTGTCCTTGAGATGTTCTGCAGGACCTTAGACCCCCCACCAGTTGACCACCTGCTGGCCAAGCACTAAACCCCAGACTGGGTGGAGCCAGAAGACTGCTGACTCAGACTCCTGAGCCATCCTGTCGGCTCACCACTAACCCATCAGAACAGTGGGCACCGGCTGCTCACACCCTACAACCTTTCCCGTCATCCTGCCTTTAAAAGCCCCTGCCTGTAAGCCAAACGAGGGTTGAGGACCTTGAGCGTTAGCACCCCCTCCACCGGTCCCATTCTGCTTGCTTGACGCCTGCAATAAAGGGCCGCTTTGTCTCACTACATCCCAGTGTCAGCGCTTGGCTTTCCGCATAAGCGGACCCAGGTTTGTTTAGTTTGGCGACAGACCAGGGAGAGAGAAGTAGTGGGTCTGACCACATCCGCACAGGCCCAGGGCCCTTTCATGCCTGCCCACTGCGGCGGTCTCGGCCCTGCTGCCGGGTCTCCAACCACGGGGTGGCAGGAGCTGGTGGAGTGCGCGCCTCCTCCCTGTCAGGGCAATGCCCTCAACGCCCGCGCAGTTCTGGTTCTGTCCACTCTCAACTCCTATCCTAGACCGTGCATCAGCCTCTTCCCTGCTCCCGCCAGGCCCCCCCAACGGCGGAGGCGAGCCTGTAAACACCTGAATCAGACCACGCCCCTCCTCTGCTCGAACCTTCTCAGGGCTCCATCTCTCTCGGAGTGAGAGCCAGATCCTCGCTATGGCTCCTGTGGCCCCATTCCCCTCCCCCCCTCCCTCCTCCCACTGTCCCCCTCACTCGTTGTCCATCCACACGGGCCTCTCTGAGCTTCCTCACACACACCGGCCTCCTCCTTACTTCAGGGCCATTCTTCTGGCTGTTGTTTCCGCCTGAAATGCCTTCCCCAGTTCTCCTCTCGGGTGTCCCTTTTCACTATTCAGGTCTCTGCTCAAGCTCTTCAGAGACCTTCCCCAACCATGCCAACCAACACCCTCCTTTGTAACACACCTCCTCATTTTATGTTCTTCACACTAACTACTACTCATAATTATTTTATGTATTTACTTGCTGATTATCTGCTTCCTTGCCAGGATGAAACCATAAGAAATACCTGGCCATGTTGTTTATCACTGTATCTCCCCCATTGTAAGAAAAAGAGGATCTGAGGTGCTGAATCAACAGATAAAGGTATTATTATTGCATTTTTACAGATAGGGAGAAAAGGTTCACAGAATAAAACTCTCTGCCAACGATCTCACTCTAGAAATTTGTTGTTGCCATCGAACCTTTTCTATGACCAGGTACTGTACTAAATACTTCACATACATTTAATCATTTTATGAAATGAGTATGTATGAGCAATTTAATACCCTTGTTAAGGATGAGGAAACTGGTACAGAGATATTAAGTAACTTGCCTGAGATCACAACTATTAGATGACAGAGCTGGGATTTGAATCAGGGTATACTTCCTCCAAATAAACGTTAGACAATGGCAGATTCAAACCCAGGTTGCAGCCTCCAGAACTTCAGTTCTAGACCATAGCATTCTACTGTCCTCAGAAAGCTTACCTGAGCCAAACAATCTTGAAAAAGAACAATGTTGGAGGACTCAAACTTTCTGATTTGAAAACGTAATTACAAAGCTACAGCCCTCAGGAAGGACTGTGTGGTACTGGCATATAGACAGACATACAGAGCAATGGAAAAGAATTATACCCAGAAATAAACCCTTACATTCATGGTCAATTGATTTTTGACAAGGGTGTCAAGACAATTCAACAGGGAAAGAATAATCTTTTCAACAAATGGTACCGGGATAAGTGGATATTTGCAGGCAAAGTTAGACCCTTACCTGACATCATATACAAAAACTAACTCAAAATGGATTAATACCAAAAGGCACAGGCAACAAAAGAAAAAAATGATAAATTGGATGTTCATCAAGTTAAAATCTTTGATGCTACTTACGGTATGTGCATTACATCTAAATAAACATAATTTTTTTTTTGCTTCAAAGACACCATCAACTAAATGAAAAGACAACTCACAGAATGTGGCAAGATATTTACAAGATATTTATATCTGATAAGAAACCAGTATCCCGAATATATAAAGAAATTTTACAATGCAACAATAAAAAAACAGTAACTCCATTTTTAAATGGGCAAATGATCTGAATAGACATTTCTCCAAAGAACACAGATAAATGGCCAATGAGCATATGAAAAGATGTTTCCCATCATTGTTAGAAGGGAAATGCAAATCAAAACCACAATGAGATACCATGTCTCACACATTAGGTGGTTATAATAAAAAAAATGGACAATAACAAATGTTGGAGAGGATGTAGAGAAACCCGAACCCTCATACAATGCTGATGAGAATGTAAAATTATGCATCTGCTTTGGAAAACAGTCTAGTAATTCCTCAGAAGTGAAACAGAGTTAACATATAGCCTAGTAATTCCATTCCTAGGTATGTACTGGAAAGAACTAAAAACATATGTTTATACAAAAACTTGTACACACATATTCACAGCAGCATTATTCATGATAGCCAAAAAAGTGGAAATAACCCAAATGTCCTCAATTAATGAATGGATAAACAAAATGTAGTATATCCTTACAATCTAATATTCAGTCATAAAAAAGGAAATACTGACACATGCTATGATATGCATGAGCCTTGAAAACACGCTGAGTGAAAGAAGCCATACACCAAAGGCTACATATTTTGATTCCATTTACATGGAATGCCCAGAATAAGCCAGTTCATAGGGACAGGAAATGGATCAGCGGTCTCCAGGGGCGGGAGGAATGGAGGGCACAGGGTTTCTGTCTGGGTGATAAAAATGTTCTGTAATTAGTGGTGATGGTTGCACAACTTCAATATATTAAAAACTATTGAATTGTATACTTTAAATAGTGAATTTTATGGTATGTGAATTATATATCAATTTTTTTAATGGCAAAAAAAAAAGCTTACCTAAGCACCTACTATGTGTCTGGTGGGACACTAGGAATCTTCAACAACCTTTATAGTCCCAGGGTCAGATGGTGCCACCATTATTAAAATGTTAAAATGTGGAAAACGACGCCCACACAGAATGAGCCCACATGCACCTCACCCACTCACCTCTCCCTCACAGGAGTAGTTGATCTTCAGGAAATAAGGGAAAATCAGGTATTCCTGAAAGGAAAGGTTGGGCAAATGTCCAGAGTCCATGGTGCGGGTCCAAGGCCTCTTCTCACTTTTCTGATCCCTATTCCCTCACCTTATTCAGGTCAAAGCGTGAGTCCACCGGTTGGCTGAACAAGCTGTCCACTGTGCCTAGGGGTTCTTGATAGAAGAAGCGGTCCCTCCCGAGGTTCTTGCCTATCGTCTGGAACTTGTTCAGGGCAACCTGCCAGGAGCACTTCTGGATATCCTCAATTGCCCACAGCCTCCACGGTGCCAATAGCACCGCCAGCAGTGCCCACAGCGCCCTCAGGACTTGGAGTCTTGGCCACACAGGGCCAGCAGCAGACATCTTGGGGCAGGTTACAACGTTTAGCTCGAACCTGGAGAATGCTGGGGTCAACAGTCGCCATCAAGACTGCGCGCGGGGAAAGCCTTGAGATCCCTTCTAACTCCTGCACTTCTCCCAGCCCCTGCTCCTGGCTCCGCCCCTGCACTTACTCCAGGTCCCGCCCCGGCTCTTGCTTCTCGCTTGCTGCTGTCTCCGCCTTTGCTCGATTCCGCCCCTGGCCCTGCATCTGCTCCTATTCTGGATTCCACCTCTGCTACTTCTTGAAGGTCCTGCCCTACCGCTGCTCCTGGCCACGCCCCTGCCTCTGGTTTCGCCCCGCCTCCTCGTCGCGCCCCTTTATCTAACTTCACCCTTGTTCTTTGCTCTACCCGCTTCTCTCATTCCCACCCCCACTCTTCACCCTGTCTCGATTTCCTTTTCTTGCGTTGGCTGCGCCCCACCTATTTAGCCCCGTCCTGGTCTCGCACCTACACCTGCACTTGCAACTGCACCTAGCTCCGCCCCCACCTCTTGCTCCGATCCCCCACTTCTCTTTGCAATGCCCCTTTCTCCTTGCTCGGTCCCAGCGCTGGTGCCGGGTGCGGATCCCAGCCTCTGCCTTCTCCCCGTCCTGGTCATGGAGCCTCTCCACGCCCCGCCCCTTCCCTTGTCCCCACCCCTGTTTCTCGCCGGGAGCTTGCACTTCGCTCAGTTTCCGCTCCTTGTCCCGCTCCTGTTCCTCGACCCGCCCCTTACCAACAGCCCCTTTCCCCTTATCCTTGGCAAGCGGATCTTCCCAAGTCGGTTCCTCGACCCGCCCCTTCTCCTTAAAGGTGCTCTTTGCCCCGAAATCTCTCCTCGCCACCGGCCTTTCCCTCGCTGAGAGGCCCTTTCCTCGCTTCTCGCCTTCTCCTCACGCTACACATTCTCCCTGTCTGACGTCAGCACCCCGATCCTCACCTTCTTCCCTAATCGCGCCACCTTTTCGCCCTCCTCACCACCCCTTTCCATGCCCCGGACAGCTACCTTCTCTTCTCACCGCCTCTTCTAGCCCCGCCCCTACGCATCGCCCCGCTTCTACTCTCAGCCTTTCCCTGTTCTCGCCCCGTCCTTTCTCCGCCCCTCCCGTCCGTGGCCAGGTCCCTCCACTCCTTTTTCTCCTTGCCTCCTCCCTCCCGCCTCCCCTTCTCAGCCCCTCTCCCACCCCCCACATCCCTCCTTGGGATGGCCGCAGGAACCCCCCTCCTTCTCCCGCCCAGCGGTACCACTCACAGTTCAAAACGGTCAACCGCCTCTTGGGCGCTTCAGTCCCGCCCCTCTTGCCCGGTCTCAAAATGGCCGCCTGCACTTCCACAACCGCCTTCCGCCTTCCCAGAGGCACACTTGCTTCACGCTTCCGTCTCCACGGTAACGCTCCCAGCAGGAGCCAGGAGCGCGCGGGCGGAGGGAGGCGGTGCCCAAATACCGGGGCGCGCGAACCTCACAGGCAGAGTGTTCTGGAGACAGTAGGAAGTCCTTCAAGTGGTTCCTGTTGGTGGTTCTGGCAACCCCTACTCGTCCTTCTCCTTCTACCCAATGGGCTTTTATATCAAACATTTTTCTAAAAGAAAATTTGGTCTTGTGAGAATTACTCAGTGGTTTAACACCCATCTCTAGGAAACAGGGGCAAAGACCGCCATCTCACAGAGTTGTGGGAAGTCAGTAAGATACCATGTGAAGAGGGCCTGGCACCAGTAAATATTTGGTAAACTCATTTTCATTTGTATTCTGACACGTAATCTTAAGGACTCAGACCATGACCTAAGCCCAAGGTTTTCAAACTTGAGCGTGCGTAAGACTCACTTGCAGGATGTTCGGCTCTACTCAAGAGTTTTTTATTCAGTACATCTGAGGTGGGGCTGGAGATTCTAGCAAGTTTCCAGATGATGCTGATAGTGATGGTCTGAGGACCACACCTTGGGAACAAGCGCCCTAAAAAAACCTTCCATGACTCCCAGGACCTCAGGGAAACATCCAGACTCAATTGGTCGAGAGCCCCAAATAATCTCATCTTCCTCGTACTTCTTCTATGCAGCTCATGCCCTTTCTCCTGATGAATCAGACATTCTAGAGACCAAGAGATCTCTGAAATAAAAGGGTTTATTTTTACAGATACAGCTAGTAAAAGGACTGAATCCTGGAACAAGAAGTTTCTGCTTCACCAGCAGCAAAGCCAGTTAACGGAAACAACTTGACCCAAACTCAGAGAGGGCACATTTATGAGGAGGTCTCAAGAAAAGAAAGTTCTTTAAATTTACATTGGCTCTAGTTAAGGAAGGTGGGCTGATGAGAAGTGGGGAAAGTCTGCGGTAGGTGGTTAAGCCATAGAGGCTTGTGGATTCATTTTTGTTGATAGTCAGACACTGTTCACATGCAAGAAGGAATGCATTGGTTCTGGGGACCTTCTAGATGATTGTTGAAATGACTTCATCCAGGAACATGGAGTTTCTGGTTAGCTACAGCCCATGGCTTTTGACTAATTACCTTCCCTTTTCTCTCTCCCCCATTCTCCAGCCCTTATGTCACTTAACTCAGTATTTTTCCTTATCTGTATAGACCATGTAGTCCATAGCCTAGTCACTCGGAGTGACTTGAGTATCCTCGATCCGGCGTGCTTTCTCTCCTCCAGACTATGCACAGGCTGTACCACCCTCTGGAATACTATTCCCTGCCTTGTCGCCTGCTGACCACATTCCTTTCCTCAGGTCTTGTCTGTGATACACTACCAGCCCCCATCCCTCCCTGATCATGCTAGGCCGTGTCTGTCTGGGAATGGGTCTTTGTTTCCCATTAAGTCACAGGTCCATGAGGACAGGGCATAGGGCTTTCTCCATTACTGTTCCCAAATCTGTCCAAGGTGGCCAGAATAGGTGATCTATGTAAATAAACAGCTGAGGGAAATCTATGCTCCCTTCTGCAGCCCATCCCCACAGGCCAGGGAGGAGTGATTTCCTCTGAGAGAGGAAACACAGCAGCTGTGTACCAGAGCCCTTCTCGACTCACCAACGGTGAGAGAGACTGGGGTCTCCTGCAGGCACCCCCTCTCAGGAATCCAGCCCCCTCCAGGGGGGAGGTGCCTTTGTTAGGTCACGATGCCCACTGTGCGCCCGGCAGCATCATTTATGCTGCCAAAAAACTGGCCACCACCCACACGCCCATTATCAAGACACTGAAATAATTTATGGGACGTGTATCCAGGAGAAGGCACTGCAAACATAAAGAAGGGTATGAGACCCACTTGTGTGTCTGTGGAATGATTTCTGAGTTACACTGGATTGGTGAAACAAGCAAAGTTCAGAAATGAGAATGTTAGAAAAAGCATATTAATATTATATATACATTATAAAATTATATTTTATATATAATTACATATTTATTTTTATGTTATATATGTATTTTATGTATTTATATATGATTGTTTTTATAATTACATATATAAAAGTATGATTACATATACATAATTGATATAAAAAAGCAAGGTGCAGAAATGAGGACATTAATCATTAGCCAACATTTTATTAAGTACCAGACATTGTTCTAAGAGCTTTACGAATATTAAGTTGCTTAATTCTCTAAGAAACCATGAGGTAAGTGCTGTAAATTCCCATTTCCCAGATTTCAAACTGTGGCACAGGCTGGTGAAATCGTTTGCCCAAAGCCACAGAGCTTAGGAGTGACAGAGTTCAGATGTGTACCCAGGGACTTTGCCTCCAGAGTCTAACATTGCAACCTTCACCATACTAGGTACCATTTATGTAGAGTGAAAGAAAAAACAGATGACACACATGTGCACTGCTGGTACTGCCTGGGAACCCTGAGGAATCAGTCAATACAGGCAGAATGCAGGAGGAAGACGGACTTCCCAGTGTACACTCTTTTGTACCTTTTGAGTTTTTAGCATGCACCTTTTTTTAGTATCTTGAACTGAACAGGGCCTGGTTTATTTCTCTAGAGGAGTTTAGAAGGAAAAGCAGTGAGAAGTGGAAGCCAGATCGCACAGTCATCTCCCTCGATAAGGTGAGAAGCAGCTGCCTGCCCAGCCAGCCGCTGACTTTAGCAGCCAGGTCAACAACGACCATGGGGAGAAGCCAGGGAGCCTGGGAGGCTGAGGAAGAGCTAGACAGCAGATGTTTCTGGGCTCCTGTGGGACAAGGTGGCCAATGAAAACCTTGCTCACATCCTAGTTTTGTACTCCCTGTGTGAACTTGGGCAAGTTATTTGACTTCTCTGGGCCCTCTTTTCTCCACCTGTAAAATGTGGGAAAAGTACTTAACAGAGTTGCTAGAAGGGTTAAATAAATTATCAGGGGGTTGGAACAGTGCCTGACACATAGTAAAATCTATGCAATTGTTTTATTTCAAAGTAATTAAAACCATTTTGTGTGACTTGATAGCATGATTTGACAATGTTGACTTCTCCCTCAAAATTCTCTTGTCTCTTACCTACACGGCCTCCTCTCCTGGTTTTCCTACTCCTTTTCGGTCTCCTTTATAAGCTCTTCTCTCTGGTGTAAGGACATGAGTTGAAGGTCACTGCTCACTATATGGAGCATTTACATTAATTAGAAAAAGAAGCCCCCTTTGGGCATATTCAGCCTTGAACTTTAGCCCCAATTTGTTTCCACCCTGCCAGCCAGACATCCCTTACATAACATCCCAAATTGTATAACTGTACATGTCGGCCCTGGCTGATAATCAATATCTGTCTGTTCTCCGAACCTTCTGCCTTTCTAATAGAAGCCCAGTTTTGTTCAAGTATTCACCAGCCTCAGTCCTGAGGGCAGGGGAAATCCTGAGGAATCCAAGCTAATCATGGTAGCTTCCTCACTCTGGCCAATGATCAGTTCAGGATGGGCATGAGAGCCACTTTTGGCCAATGAGGTGGAAGAGGGAGTCTGCTGAGAGGCTTTGGAGAAGTTTTCTTTACTTCCAGACAGTTCCTGGCTCTGTGTCCAAGACAAGGGCCTTCCCCTCTCCATGCCTCAGTTTCCTCATCTACGTGAAGGGATGATAGTATTATCTTCCTCATTTGCAAAGTACCCAGAACAGAACCTGGCCAAAGAAAGCATCATAGAATAACACAGCAGGATCTGTGAAATTGTCTTTTGAAGTAGCTAGTATTATTATGTATTGCCATTTTACAGATGAGGAAACTGAAAATCACAGAGGTACAGTGGGTGCCCAAGGACACAGGCAGGATACAGCTGAGCTGGGATTTGAGTCCAGGCAGGCGGGCTCCAGAGCCCAGTGCACCTTACACATTTGGCACTCAGTAAAGGGGGACAGATTTTACACCGGTGTCTCAGCTAAGAGCAGAGCCTTCCTGCCATTTGGATCCAGGCTGGGATCCTGTCTCAGCTTGCTGCTCGCCAGGCCACTGAGGAAGATTCTATCACCCAGGCCTACCCTATGGCTTTCCACACACGTCTTGCTCCCTGGAGACACTGGAGTCAGGTACACCATCCTCTGCTGACTATTCCTCAGATTTCAGGGCTGAGTTCCGTTGTCCCTTCCTTCAAGAAGTCCTCCCTGACCTCCCTGTGCTTCCCCCACCTCAATGCTGACCACTCACCCTGTGCTGTCCCCATCACGCTGCCAACCCCTCTGCCTCCTCACTGAAGTCCTGCCTCCTCTGGGCTGTCACTGTGTGGGGACAGGTGTGTCTACTTCAGTGAACCAGGAGCCCCCTGAGAACAGGGCCCAGACCCATCTCAACCACTGCTGTGTCCCTAGCACTGCCCAGCCCAGGGCCAGCACAAAGGAGGGAGTTTTGGATGTTTGAATATATTCTTTCCACTTGACAGATGAGGAGATCCAGGCTCAGAGACGGGCAGTCCCTTGCCCAGTGACCAGTCTAGTGCCCCACATGAGGTCTGAGCCCAAAGCCTGGTAGAATTGGCAAGTGATGAGTGGCTGAGGAAGAACAGTGATGGATAAAAGGATGAGCCACAAAGAGACGTGTGAGGAAGAGACCGAGATGGTGGGGAAGCCGGAGAGGTGCAGAGTGTCGGGGACATGAGAGGAGGAACTGAGAACAAGGCAGGTGGTGGAGGAACTGGGCGAGCCAGGCCTGTGAGACAAAGGACAGGCGGTTGGTGGCAATGCCTCACAAATGCCGGCATGTGCTCGTGGACATTCCAGTAGGTCCATCCCCATCACGTGGGCCCCTCAGCTGCAGGCCAGGTCTATCCAGCCTTGGGGCACCTGCCCCGGCTACCTGGGGATGGAGGCGTAGTCGGCGCGGGAGCCAGCAGTGAGTTGCTGGCGTGGCTCTGGCTGGGGTCCCAGAATGTCCACCCGGTCATCCTCGTCCTCGCTGAAGCTGGCAGGGCACGGACTAGGCAGCAGGATGAGCTCTGTGAGGCCGTGAAGGTCAGACACACGGCGGAAAGTCTGCAGCACCAGCACCATGGCGACCAGGCCCAGGAAGAGGTAGACTGCAGAGGTGGCAGGAGGGGACAGGTGGACTCAGACCCCCAGGGCAGGGCCAGGTCTCCCTCAGAACCTCCAGGGCAAGGCTGCGGCCCTGCCCCCAGTCCCTGGGCAGCCACCCCACTCACCTGTGATCAGCACTTTGTAGAGGGCCCGGTAGGGCTGACCGGGGGCCTCGCTGGGCACATAGTCACCCAGGCCTATGGTAGACAGAGAGATGAAGCAGAAGTAGAAGGCATCCAGGAAGCTCCAGTCCTCCTCAAGGTGGGCAAAGACTGCAGCTGGCACCAGGAAGCAGAGGGTCATCACACCTGCCAGCAGGGCCACCAGGTGCCAGCGGGCCACCTGCCGGGGGTCCCAGCCCCAGCGCGTGCTCAGCCAGGACAGAGGCGCATGGGTTAGCAGCAGTGACAGGCGCTGGGCCGAGGCAGTCAGCAGCAGCATGGTGGCCGGCACGCCCAGGAGCGCAAAGGCAATGGAAAAGGCCTTGCCCGCGTCGGTCAGTGGCGTTGTGTACCCGTAGCCTGTGGGGGTGAGAGCGAAATCCTTTTGCCCACCAGGCGCCTCCACTCAGGGGTCTGTGGCCACCCTAAACAGAGCCCTGATTTCACCTTGAATCAGCCCCTCCCACAGCCTCATCTCAGGTGATGGCATCCCCAGCCAAGAGCCGAGGTGATGTCCTTGACTCCCTCATTGCTCACACCCACCTTCCATCTGTCAGTGTATCCTGTTGTCTCAGCCTTCAGACAAATCCAAAACCTGCCCACTTCATGCCCTCTTGGTCCCACCCTCGGCCTCTCAGCAGCCTCCTCCCTTGTCTCCTTCAACCACTACCTTTGCCTCCACCATCTGTTCCCCACAAACAGCCAGAAGGACTCTATGGACACCTGAGGAAGGTCACATTGCTCCCCTGCTTAGAGCCCTCCTGTGGCTGCTTCCAACTCAGGTAAAAGGACAGAGTCCTCATCACGACACCCAGGGCCCCACACGATCCCACAGGGCAGCACGCTCCCACCACAGGGCCTTTGCACTGGCTATTCTTTCCTGCAGGGTTGGCTCCATCCCTCCACTCCTTCAGGTCATTGCTCAGATGTCATCTAGGTGAAAACTGCCCTCACTATCTCATTTTACATTGTTATACTCTCTTGCCCAGCTTTTTCTTTTTTTCTTTTTTGGTTTGTTTTCATAGCACTTCACTTCCCAACATACTATATGGTTTCCTTATTTGGGTACTGTCTGTCTCCCTGCAGGGATGCAGCTCCAGGAGGGTTCGGGTTCTGTCTGTTTGTGTCACTGCTGTAGCCCTAATGCCTGGCTCAGAGTACACACTTGATCAATAGTCATGTAATGATTAAAGGATGCAAGTTCTAGCCTGGCTTGGAGCCTCAGTTTCATCTACTCTAAAATGGGTGTGACAAGTTCCACCGGGCTCCTGGAGGACTGTGGGAACACAGAAAGGTCAGTGTGGGTGTGAGAATTGCAAACAAACATGAGAAAGGGGAATTCAGGTGTTGGTGGGATTGCTCACTTTGGTAATATGTGACTTAAAATCTCTGTATTTCCCAAAGAAGTCAAACCAAAAAAGGGTCAGAGATAGACTGGAGTGGTAAGCTTAGGGCCTGGTTTATGTTGACACTAAAATGTCTTTCCCAAAAGACTATGGATCCAGCCCTGTGATCAATAAGAAAGTGTGGAAATGTTGCCCATACCAGCAGGTATTCACTTGTGCCCATCTTCCATACAAAGGGGTCCCCTGGTCTTTTATACTCAAAAGGATTGAAAGTAGGAACCTGAAGGGATACCTGTATGTCCATGCTCACAGCAGCACTATTCGCAAGAGCCAAAGGGTGGAAGCAACCCATGTGTCCATCAACAGGTGGCTGGATAAACAAAATGTGATATGTACATGCAATGGACTCTGATTCAGCCTCAAAAGGAAGGAGATTTGGACACAGGCTACAACATGGCTGAACCTTGAGGACATTATGCCTAGTGAAATAAGCTAGTTACCCAAAGACAAACACTGTATGATTCCACTTATATAAGGCACCCAGAGTAGTCAAATTCATAGAAATAGAAAGTACAATGATGGTTACTAGAGTCTGGGGAGAGCAGGAAATGGGGAGTGAATGTTAATGGGTACTGTTTCAGTTTTCAAGATGAAAAGAGTTCTGGAGATGGATGGGGGTGATGGTTCAATAACAATAAGAATGTACCTAATACCACCACACTGTACCTTAGAAATGGCTAACATAGTAAATGAAATGTTATGTGTATTTTACCACAATAAAAAAAAATGGGGAAAAAAAGAATCCCCTAGTTTTGCTGGATGCATGGCCACCCAGAATGAAGACATTCCCTCCTCCCTTGCAGCTAGGAGTGACTCTGGAATAATTCTGGCCAATGAGTCGTATGATGAAAGAAGCAAGCAACTTCCAGAAAGTGTCCTTAAAGGAAGGAAGGAGGATGCCTATCTCCCTTCTCTCCCCTCTCCTGGCTGGAACACAAATATGAAGGCTGCAGTTGAGCAGCCACCTTGGACCATGAGGTGACCTTGGAAATGAAACTGTGTACAGAGGAGCACAGGCTCTCTGACCATGCAGACTATTCTGGTCTTAGACTGACTATCTTGAATGTGGGTAAGAAATACTTTCATCTTATTTAAGCAACTATGGCTCCAACCCTCATTAATACAAGTATACAGACAGAAAAACTCCAGCAGCCTAGCCAAAATGAGAGGTTTTCAAATGACACAAAATCCTTATAAACAGAAAAATCAGAGTTAGAATAGAATGGGGGCCGTGAGCCTCTACTCCTCTACTTACTACCTCAAAGAACTGAGTCCAAATCAGTACTTTGCCTCTTATTCCCTACATGAACTGGGCCACATGACTTCTCCTCTCTGAGCCTCAGTTTCCTCAGATACTGCAAAATGGGCTCATAAACAGTCCTTTCCTCAAACATAATAGCAATAACCTACAGGTCGGGACGGGGCATGGGAAGAGTTAGCATGACTATAATATGCACTTCCTCTTTCCTGACTCCCAGTTCCAGGTAGGCTGACTCCTCCCCCACAGGGCCTCACCTGCAGCCAAGCTGCCTGGATCAACTCCAGGCCCCAGGTCTTCCTCAGAAGATTTGGGCCTACGGCAAAACCAGGGACGCTGAATGACATCTGGTTTTCCCTTTCTCCAGATACATTCAGGGCTCCTGGCTTCACCGATAATAATGAAATAACATAATATAATAACCATGAGTAAACTAAATAAGCCTAAACATAATAATAATGAAATGAAATCATAAGAATGAGAAAACCTCCATTATTATTGCCAGCACTTCACACAAAGACTCCTTCCTTGACCAAACTTTAGGTAGCCTCCCCTGAGCCCTCTTTCTCACCAGGCCCAGTTTTAGCAGGAATCCTGAGCCAGTTCAGGGAGAACCCCCTTCTCTTGATACTGCATTGAATTCCTCATCTTCCACCCTTGATACCTAAGTCCTTATGTGTAAGTCCTTGGCCTATCTTCAGCAAGAACCCCAGTGAGCCACTTTAGCAAGAATCCCCCTAGCCTCCTTTTAGGAATCTTCCGTCCACTGACCCCCTCACCCTGCTCTCCAAATCTCCAGCTGTCTGCTCTATTCAGAGCTGAGTTCAGTCTCTCTCCCCTACAAAGAAACTTACCATTTTTAACAAGTGTTGGAATCACTTTTCTTTCACAATATACACATATCACCCTTCTTCATGCAAGCCTGAGAGGTAATGCAGGGGGTTGGTTAAAAGCATGAGACTCTGAGGCCTAATGGCCTCCATTCAGATCTCCACTCTCCACCTTCCTAGCTCTGTGGCCTTGGGCAGGTTGCCAACCTCTCTGGGCCTGTTTCTACTGCTAAAAAAATACAGCCACAAATGATACCTGCCTCACAAAGCTGTTGTGCTGATTGGCTTAAAGCCCATATGTGGTAAGTCTGCTACCAAGTATTATTATTACTGTGCAGGGAGATGTGTTATTATCCCATTTTATAGATGAGGGAGGACACTGAGGCTGAGAGATGAGCAGTGACTGAGCAGGGATCTGAACCCAGGAAGTGCCTGCCTTGAATTTGCCTTCTTCACCTGTCCTGCCTGGGAGGACTGCTCAGAAGCCAGGACCAGGGAGGAGGTTGAGGGAGACTGAGGTGACCCAGTGAAGCCCAGGAGCAGGTCAGACAGGCCTAGCCAGCTTGGGGATGGTCTCTGAGAAGCATCCAGCCCTGCTCCCGGGGCTCTGGTTTGCCATCCACACTGTGGGCCACCAAAGGCAGCGTGCTATTCCCAGCAGCAAGGGGGAGTTAGGAGGATGGGCGGGCCCTGGCCCAGCCTCCTCACCAGGCCTAAAGACCTAGCAAGGAGATGAAGAGGAAGTCTGGGGGTTGGGGAGTAGCTGGGGGAGGACCAGCAGAACCTACCAACAAACAGGTTTCCTAGGTCAGGTAGCCCCGAGGTGGGGATTCCCAGGTGGGGCTTGGGGGAAGGGGTCTGTACCATGGTGTGTGTGGGGGGTAATTCAGAGAAGGAGATCTGGGAAGCTGGTAATCTGAAATCAGAGTCCTGATTTGAAATGGATCCTAGCTTGGGTTTGGGGGCTGGGGTCCAGAGGAAGGAGGGGACAGGCACCTGTACGTGTGGGGGGAGGGGTTCTGGATGGTAAATGGGATTGAGAGGAAAGTCCTCAGATGAGAGGGCTTCTGAGCCCACGGATGCCTGAGGGATGAATGCTGAGGGATGATGGGAACGGGTGGGTGTCTCAGGTCCTGGTAGAGAGTGTCAGGTGTAGAAAGCAGTCATGGCCTTGAGTGGATACTGGGGGTGGGGTGGGGAAGGTGTCCTGGGGTGCTGAGGGGGCCTGGAGTGTCTTTAATGAAGAGGAGAATTTAGGTCCAGAGCAGGCTGGGGCAGTATTGGGGTGAAGAGGGAGGCCTAGCTGTGGGTCTGGTGGAGATTGGAGGGGTCCCAGGTTCCCAGGAGAGTCCCTTCCTTGGGAAATCAAAGATGGGCAGGGGTAGTAGGTGCAGAGAGCTGAGTCCCTGGGCTGGCATACTGTGTGTGTGTGTGTGTGTGTGTGTTTAGGGGATTCTGCCCTCAATTGCAGTGTGTGTAGAACACTCACAGGTCCCTGATAGGAGGCCCAGGTTGTTCTGGGGCTCTTAACCAAGGAGTGTCAGGGGCCAGAGAGTGGTGAGAGTCTTACCTAGGGGTTCAAAGAGGCTCCCATGGGGGAGTTCCTGGTTTGGAAAAGGCTAGGGGTTTTTGCTGGAGCTGATTTTGGGACTGGAGGCATGGAAGTCCTGGGTGGAGGACTTCTGGATGAAAAGTCAGAGGGTCCTTCCTGGAGGGTGCTCTAGCTCCCTTCATAGTGGGTTCCCCTTTCATATCCACCACTGGGGGCTGCTGAACTGGCAGTCCCATGTTCAGAGGAAACAGGAGAGTGTCTCCTGGGCGGAGAACTCTACAAAGCTCCCCAATACAGGGGAGATGTCAAGATGGAATCAGGCATGGGGAGAAGGTCCTATGTCTGGAGTCAGGGCTTCCTGTTGGAGAGGATGAGGAGGTGGGTGGTCCCTGGTCTGGAGGAGAGCAGAGCCCTTGCAGGGGAGTGATCTAGGTTCTGACCACTGAGTGGTGGAAGTCTCAGATGGGGGCCCCAGGTCCTTGTTGAGGGACCTCTATTGGCAGTAAGGCCTTTAGTGATGTCACCCTGAGAAGGTCCTCACTGGGACACCAGGCTTCCCAAGGGGCATCCCAGAAGCACATATGTGGAGAGTCAGGAGACGGTGTTGGAAGGACTGGCAGTCTGACCCAGAGAGAAGGGCGAGGTCCTTGCAAGTCTGAGGCCGGTGTCCAGAGAGGGTCAGTCTTAGGTGGAGGGTCCCGGGTCCTGGCTTGAGGCCTCTGAGGTGGGCCTAGGCCCAGAGGGGACTGGACGGACCTGGGTCTCCGAGAGGGTTAAAGCAGGGGAATGGGGCCCCAGATGCTCTCCAGAAGGTACTCTGAGGGAGGCCCTAGTCTCGGAGGGGACTGGGGGTTTTACTGCTGGGAGGAAAGGCTTGGATGGGGGCTCCTCGAGGAGGGGAGGATCCTAGAGTGTGGGTCCCGAGTCCTCGTTGAGGGGTTTTGAAGGGGTCCTTGTCCCAGAGAGGACTGGGAGAGATCCGCGGGGACAAGGGTATTTCGTGAAGGCTCCCAGGTCCCCAGGCAGGCGGGGACGAGGTGGGGGTCCCGGATCCTCGCTGGCTCGGGGGTGAGGGCGGCGCGCACGTACCCACGGTGGTGACCAGTGTGCTGGCGAAGAAGAGCGCCGAGGCAAAGTCCCAGGCGGGGTCCGAGGCATTGGCGGGCCCCGAAGCGTTGGCAAGCGCGGCGCGCCCCAGCCGTCCGGCCGCCAGCACCCGCTCCACAAAGGCGTCCAGGGCCGGGGCGGCCACGCATGGGCTGCGCCGCAGCAGCTGCTCCCGAAGGTCCTCCAGCTCGGCTCGGAGCCGAGCCTCATGCGGCCGCTCGAGCCATGCCACCAGCAGCGCGCCCAGCACCAGGTACGCGACGTACGCGGCCAGGGCGCCCGCCAGGACAGCGCCCCGCCGCATGGCACCCACCAGCCCCGCGCCGCGGAGCCCGGACTACCCCGCTGACGTGGCCCCACTCCCACTCGCCGGCCCGGAGCTCGGCTTCAGTTCCGGGAGTTCTCGAGGGGCGGCCTCAAGCGCCCCAAAGAGGAAGGAGAGGAAAAGGGGAGGGGCGGGGGCGGAACTCCCCGCCTCCGGGAAACTGAGGCACGCCCCACCGCCAGGTGTTAGCCCTGAGAGGGTGGGGCCCGCGCTCCCGGACCCCGGAAACTAGCAGGACGCGAAGAGGGGATGGGGGTTTGGGGGGATTCTTCCTTTCCTTCCATTTCCTCCCACGCTTCCTCCCAGGAGTCGCGGCTCCCTAGGTTAGAGAGAATCGGAGCCGTCTCCTCCGCTTCCCGACCGAGAAGTCGCTCCCCAACTGCTCCAGGCCTTCGCTCAGGGATGCAAAGACCGTGCACTGCGTCAGAGCGCGTGGCCGAGGAGACACTGAAATCCAGCCCTTGCTCCATTCGCCAAGTCGTGCGCTCCGGAGTGGGCCTGCGTGCACCTGGAGGGGAGGCCTGTCTGATCCACAGTGAGGGACACCACAGGAGCAGGTATCCTCTGTGTCGTCGTGGACAGACTCGGGGGTTCACCAAATCTTTGTTCAGCTGCTACTTTGTGCCCAGTCGTTTGCTATGTGATGTCGGCGACAGAGTAGTGACCATCGCAGTCCTGGGCTCTGCCCTCAGGGGGCTCCCAACACTTCAACAGAGGGTCAGAGTGTTGGAAGGAATTCAATTCCAAGTACACAGAAAAGTCTGAGTACAAGGTGAGGAAGGAATTTATTAAAGCGAGAGTGTCAGGGGATGACAGAACAGAATGATGAAGGAAGTGCATTGAACTGCTACTCGGCATGGGACACATCCCCTGCTAACTCCTTAAGGCAGTGTCACCTGGCGTCCAGTGTCCGCTTGGATCTGCAGGGCGTGGGAACTGAGTCCCTACCACCCCAGGATTTGGGGGAGCCACAGAGCACTGGATGGAGTGAGATTATGTTTTGTGAACTTCCTAGAGGCAAAGAAAGGAGACTTTCAGGCAGGCTACTAAAGGGCATGACTGGAAGCTGAAATTGCTTCTGGGTCACCTAGGAGATGGTAATTGGCAAGCCCAGATATGAGCCTTTAGCAGCTCCTCCCTACTTATCTGAAATAGGACAGAGAGAGTGAGGATTTGAGCTTTAAATCTAGAGGATTAGAATGAAAAAAGCAAAGTAACAAAGACACCACTGGAAAAGCACAGAGACAAAACGTTATAAGTTGAGCAGTGAGAGGTTTATTTAAGGCAAAAAGGTGCACACTTGGAGAAAGGGGAGTGTGGGCTACCTCAAAGAGGTGCCCCTAAGAGTTTAGGGTCTGGAGTTTTATAGGCGGTTAAGGATTTTTAGGAATTTTCAGGAATATGAGAAAGGGCTAGGGAGAGTAGACTTGCTAAGTTGGTTTCAAGATGTTTATCTTTGATGAAAGACATTAAGACTCTTCTATTATTAGTCCCTTAGGTAATTCTGCAAAATTAACACGAGAAATTTACTGCTTTGATTCCTTCCCAGGATAGCAGCTTCCCCCTGGGAATTTACCAATCAAGACCGCTTGCCCTGCCCCCAAGGTGGGCTGAGTTATTGTCTGCTTACTAAAGAGTATGTTAAGAATCTTACTTCTTAACTTTCTGGGTTTTAAACTGCAATCGTAACTTTAAGATGGAATCTTTCCTGTTTTTACTATGCTGTTTATAGCTGGTCTTGTTTGCTAAGTTAATTATGATGCCTATCTCTTGCCTAGGTTGCAAATTACTTGATGGGGGGGGTGCTGGAGGATGAAAAAATAGCATGTAGGTTAAGTTAAAGAATAAGCTGGGCCCTTTAGCTCTCTAAAGTAAATCTTACAATGGCATGATCTAATTGACACAATGAAGATATGGGCTATGCTGGGATACTTTTCTTTATCTGGGGGAATATTCAAACATTCCAGGCCAGGTTGTTCCTGGCCTTTTGAGCTTTAACTCATTAACTCTGTGAGTCTTTTCTGGTCTCTAGTTTTAACTGGTTAATTCTTTGAGTCCCTTCTGGTGGGCTTTACTGGCCTTCTTCTCTTTCC